GAACGAGAGGTCCACAAATCGAGCGATCAAACCTTCCTACAGTTAGGGTCAAAACCATAATTCACTCTCGATAAACGAGAAATTCATCTTTAGTTCGGTAATAAAACCTTCCAACAGTTAGGGTTATCCGAATCTTTTCGATTCTCGGAGTGGAGATCCCACTCTCAGTTTCACCTTTCCGGATTCTGGGGGTGGAGATCCCACCTCGAGTCTCCTTTCCAGCTGAATCCCACCTCGAGCCTCCTTTCCAGCTGAAGATAGAATATAAAATTCTTCTTCTTCAGTGTCGGGAGATAGAATATAAAATTCTTCCTCTCCCATTTCGGGTTCGTCTTTGCCCCAAGAGAAGACACCACCTTTGTCAACTCCCAAAATCTGTGCCTCACAGGTACAGGGAATTTTATCCCGAATCCTAAGCAGGGATAAGTCAAAGCCTAACACGCGTTGCTGGTTTAGTCTTTCACCGATTGAAGAAGACACCAGAATTCCAGTCTAGGAAGTTTATCCCGAATCCTAAGCAGGGATAAGTCTGCGCCTAACACGCGCTGCCGGTTTAGTCTTTTCCCGTACAAAAAGACACCAGAGTTCGATTCTGGGGTATTCTATCCTGAAACCTAAGCAAGGATAAGTCTGCGCCTAACCCGCGCTGCCGGTTAGTTCTTAACCGTTGAAAAGAACATCCGTCCACATATTCAACATTGTGGCAGGTTGTTATTAATAACACCAAAATCCATGCCTTACACGCATGGGGAATTTCATCCTGAATCCTAAGAAAGGATATGCCGACGCCTAACACGCGTCGCAGGTTTAGTCTTTTACCGATTGAAAAAGACACCAGAATACCAGTCTGGGGTATTTTTATCCCGAAGCCTAAGTAGGGATAAGTCAGCGTCTAATACACGTTGCCGGGTAGCCTATTCCCGTAACAATGGCGAAGCCTATGTATTCAACATCATAGCACAAAGTCTCAGAGAATTCACTCTCTTAGCACAACGTTACATGCGGAACGGATTTAGACAATCCGCATGCTAGCCCGACTCAAACGGTAGTCGGTAAAGGCTAATCAAACCCGTTGAAGGCTGGGGGTTAGCCAAAAACCCCAAAGTCGACGCCTAACACGCGTCGCCGGGTAGTCTATTCCCGTGAGAAAGACGAAGTCTACGTATTCAATATCGTAGCACTAAAAGGGTTAACTCTTTTAGCTTAACGTCACATGCGGAACGGACTTGAACAATCCGCATGCTAGCCCGACTCAAACGGTAGTCGGTAAAGGCGCATCAAACCCGTTGATGGCTGAGGATTTGCCAAAAATCCTATAAATACGAGAGTCACTGACGCATCAGCTTCATTAGTTGGTCTCGTGACCGGAGCATCCAACGACATTCGAAACCCTAGGGTTAACGCCGGTCAACGCGTAACCCTAGGTCAACGCCAGTCAACGCGTTGCGAGCAAAAAGTTCAACGTACGACGTTCGAAACCCTAGGGTCAACGCCGGTCAACGCGTGATCCTAGGTCAACGCCAGTCAACGCGTTGCGAGCAAAAATTCAACGTACGACGTTCAAAACCCTAAGGTCAACGCCGGACAACGCGTAACCCTAGGTCAACGCCAGTCAACGCGTTGCAATCAAACAGTCAACGTACGACGTCCAAAACCCTAAGGTCAACGCCGGACAACGCGTGACCCTAGGTCAACGCCTATCAATGCGTTGCAATGAAAGAATCAATACTCCGAAAAGTATACGAGTATAAACTGCTTCTTAATACTCCGAAAAGTATACGAGTATAAACTGCTTCTTAATACTCCGAAAAGTATACGAGTATAAACTGCTTCTTAATACTCCGAAAAGTATACGAGTATAAACTGCTTCTTAATACTCCGAAAAGTATACGAGTATAAACTGCTTCTTAATACTCCGAAAAGTATACGAGTATAAACTGCTTCTTAATACTCCGAAAAGTATACGAGTATAAACTGCTTCTTAATACTCCAATAAGGTATATGAGTATAAACTATTCCCTATTTTTGGTTTGAGAAGTTCCTGGAGAATATTGTTTATAAATATTCTTAAGGATAACTCAACCACACTACGCCGGACAACGCGTTGTACATAAAGACTCGACGCCACAATCGATGGTCAGCTAAAAATTAGAAATCAGGAATCGACTTCAAAGTTCAAAATTCCGACAAACGGTCAGACAATAAATGCAGCACCGGAACTCTTACAGACTTTCGACAAAGCACCGAAAAGCCTGGAGAATCGAAGGAATCAAGAACGGAAATCATTCCAAGGTCTCATTACACCGACTGAAGGTGGGAGGCAATCATATCCAAAGTATTCCAGACTCTTCTATAAAAGAACGAGACTGAAATACTTTGGAGGGGGTATCTGTAGGCATATAAAATTGCTTATAGGTCCCCTAGCATAGCTCGGCACAAACCGACGAACCAACGAGGCGACGAGATCGACGAATCGCATCAAGCGACGGAATGCATCCATACACGTGCGGGATCAAGCCAAGGGTTCGAAGAGTCAACGAGTCATCCAACCGAAAGAGGACTAGAATGAATCACGATCGAATCAAGATCGGTTTCGGACTCGAACTCAGAAGTGGATTTACTGCCAAATCAAGAATCGGATTTACTGCCAAATCAGGTCAGCTTGTTAATCCAAATCTTTGGCCTAGCCGGTATAGATGATTAGCACGTCCCTGTAGTTTCCACCCCGCTTTCTTTCCTGTTTGAAACTACTTCTAATGTATGATATCTGAAAACTTAAATCTTCTTCGATATCTAGAAAAATATATCTATATCCTTCAAATCTTTTAGCTGATAGCAACAACTCAAAATATTGTTGGTGGCCAAGGATAGAAGAGTAGTTGCTCCTTTTATTGAAAATTCTATGCAATATTGGGTGGGTTAGTAGGGATCCAAGTATGCTCAACTTGACTTGATAGCTGTTGTATTCCAATACATCAGCTGTTTTGCGGGGAAATAAGGACATCTAGGCGCAATGACAAATGATAAAAATTCTCAAATGTGACTTGTCTACATTATATCATCTAAGGAAATTTTTTATCCGTCATGAGTTAGCAGTGACCTATGTGACCTGAAAACTTCTATCATGAAGCCATACCCGTACCCGAAAAGTGTCATACCTGTACCCGTACCCGTACCTGACATTTCATGAACACTTCTTAAATATAGACATGTACTCAATTGTACACTACATGTTTTAAATTTAAAACACTCGTCATCCACTTCTTGGACAGATATCCCATACTTCACATCCATTTCTTGAACTTGTTGGACAAGAGTCAAGTTTGTTTCAGCCTTAAGAAGTACAATTTCAAAGGTCCTTTGCATATCTAGCTCAGGAGTAAGATTAAAGTCCATAATTCCAGCTGTGTCCCCGTACCATGCCTGCTACAAAATTTCCATGTCCTGTACACATACCCGCACCCTATCCATGAAACTTAGGCAGTGACATTTCCATTATGAGTTCATCTTTGCATCAAACATCCTGGATAGCTGGACAATTGATAGGTATACTTATTGACTGTTATGGGCTTTAGAATACGGTTCAAAGTTAGGCCATACCTTGCTGCTTCAAGAGAACATCTTGACAACTAAGATGCACATCTTTGTTCGAGCTCACTCATCTGGCTTTGTTTTCCCCCCTTTCATGATAAAATCCCATTGTTAAGCACTAGAGCAATGTTTTGATAACGTTTGGTTACACCATTATAGTAAGTGTTACATTTTATTTAGTTTAATAAAATTAAGACATCTTCCTCCTTTTCATGTTAAGCACGGATATTTAGATATTCTAGTCAGATTGTCAGAAATTTAATTATATTTTAATCAGATTTTCAAACATCATTATTTAGCAGTAGGTAACAGAAGCCATTCACATCAAACATCTGAGTGTCTACGCGTGTTCACCAGAAATAAGCATCCAAGGGTACCTATGTCAGGTGATTTAGAATTCTGAGTATGGGTTTTGCCGCCTTAGCTTTTTGATACTGCTATCACACAAACAAGTAGTTTTCTGTTGGGCCTTGAGTTAAAAATTGAAGGTTGTGGGAATTTCCATCACTATAATATCCTATTTTAAAATCCTAGGTTACAAGAAGTTAATGCATATCCATCGGTGCTTCAACAGCACCAAATTAATGCATATCAATTTGTGCTTCGCATGCTGGTTCGTGCAAATACACATGCTGAATTCTTATTGTCATGGCATCCTGCTTCAGTCATTATCTAAAGTAGGCATTTGTTTTAGTGAAATATGGAATCAGAGAACTTAAGAAATTTCCAAATATGAAAATACACTATCATTTTTAAATTACTATTTTTGTGCAAATATAGGAATAACATAACTGCCTTATTTCAAACACTGGAAAGTTAAAGCTATTGCCTTCTGTCATCCTTTCATACTATAGCCCTGATCTTGTAGAATCCTGATCTTAAGATATAATGTCCGGACAATGGAGCATCCCCCCTCCCTCGAAGAATCAATCCCTCCTTTGTCTCCTGGTAGTTTTATATTTTTTCACTATACTATTTGGCGGACCAGTTGGGCCTTGGTGATATGTTCTTCTTTCGAAGCGTTTTGCCAATAGAGTGAGGGTGTTGTTTCCAGTGACAACCGCCTGTTCTTACAGCGGGGGCGTGCCTTTCGGCTAGTACTTGAGATCGTTTAAAAAGAAATTTCCCTGGATCTGGGAAAACTCCTGTTGACCAAGCTCTTGTCTTAGTGATTCTTCCTCTTTTCTATGTTTTTCTGAGTTTTAAAATGGTAGATTTTTAATTTTGACAACTCAGACTGTGGCCCACCATGTCGCATTAAGATCTAATGAACGTGGAGCTTTGCTTTCCAGTCTTGTTTAAGTCAAAGTTGATAAGTATCTCAAACATATAATATGAACGAAGATTTATGTGAAAAGGGATGTCCAAGAAATGTCCAAGTGTTCTGAATCCAAATATTCACTATATAATTGGCTAGATGTTGTAATTAGTGATGACATGTTCCTAAAGAGTGTCCATCAGTGTCCGATATGGGTATCAGTTTGTCAGGTGAGATTTCTAATATAAGTAGACATGTAGTTGGAATTTGTACATTATTGATATACTGTAATCTTTCAATTGATTGCATCCAATTCATCATCTTTTATGACTGGGAGCAGTGCATGTTCCATCTATTAAGTAAACTTCCGTTTTTACTTCTTTCCATATTTAGCAAACAGAAACCTGGCAAATTTCATTTGAAATGAACAATTTAAAACATATTGAGCTTCTGTGTATAATGTTTTATAGCACGTGTCTTCCTTCTGATTTCCTCAAATTTTGTAGTGACAATATGAAATGAAAAGGTCTTGAGTTAAACATTTTGTTGTTCTGCCCTCTGTTACACAGATGGTGTTTACTTGATCTTGCCCGTAGCTCTGTGGAGGATGATTGCTGTGCTTTAATGATGAAAGGGAAATCTGAGATCCTAACTGTGGTTGAAGTCAACAAGCCTCCTCCAGCCAAGAAATCTCGGAGGGAGAAGAATAACGGGAAGTTGCTTACTGCTTCAAGTTCAACAGAGGCAATGGAACAACTAATTTGGAAGGAGTTACCTGAAGATCTTCTTGAATCTGTAATTGCAAGACTTCCTGTAGCCACGTTTTTCCGGTTTCGTTCAGTATGTAAAAAGTGGAACTCTTCGCTCACTTCAAGCAGTTTCTCCCAGTATTATTCAGAGATTGGACAATCACATCCTTGGTTCTATACAGTTACCCATGAAAATATCAACAGGGGAGCCATGTATGATCCTTCTTCTAGAAAATGGCACCACCCCTCCATTTCTTTCTTGCCACCAAAAATGATCATTCTTCCGGTGGCCTCAGCTGGAGGTCTCATTTGTTTCATGGACATTGGCAACAGGAATTTCTATGCCTGCAATCCTCTGACCAACTCATTCAAAGAACTCCCTCCAAGGTCCATGCAGGTTTGGTCACGTGTAGTGGTAGGGATGGTTCTTAACGGAAACTCTCTTCGTAGTGGTTACAAAATAGTGTGGTTAGGATGCAGTGGGAATCATGAGATCTATGATTCAGTAAAGAACAGCTGGGCTCGTCCAGGAAGTTTACCACCTGGCATTAAGCTTCCACTATGTTTGAATTTCAGGTCTCAAACTGTGGCCATTGGTAGCACACTTTACTTCATGAGAGCGAACCCAGATGGAATCCTGTCCTATGATGTTGCCACTGGAATGTGGAAGCAGTTTGTTATACCATCACCAGTCCATCTGACTGACCATACTCTTGCGGAGTGTTCAGGGAAGCTTATGCTGCTGGGACTGCTGTCTAAAAATGCTGCCACATGCATATGCGTGTGGGAGTTGCAGAGGATGACTCTTTTGTGGAAGGAGGTTGACAGAATGCCAAATGTGTGGTGCTTGGAGTTTTATGGGAAGCACATTAGGATGACTTGCTTGGGCAACAAGGGGTTGCTTATGCTTTCATTGAGGTCAAAGAGGATGAACCGACTGGTTACTTATGATGTGAAGAAGAGGGAGTGGCAAAAGGTGCCAGACTGCACACTTCCTCGTGGTAGGAGAAGGCAGTCGATTGCATGTGGTACAACATTCCATCCGTGTCCTGCTGCTTTTGCTTGAAAACACTCTCTTACCTGTTGGGAAAGGTATAATTCACTGACATTTTCTTCCTTCAATTAAGAAGTCTTATAATACTATTATGATTTGTCTTTTGACTACTAAAAAGCCTTGAAGATTTGGGTTCTAATTAACCTTCTGCTATATTTGCATGTTCAATGTCAAATGACTAGTTGCATTTATGATTTTCTGTATTCTATAAGGTATTCCCATGTGCCTCCATCTTAGTAGTTTCTAGGATATGAAATGTCGATGCATTGATAGACGATGACTTAAGTCCACTTTACCACTGATCATTGTAGCTATATTGCATGGGTAGGGTGCTGTATTTCTAAATGCTCACTGATAAATGACTTATCTACATTTTTTATCAATGTATTGACCACGACACTGTTATAAATAGCGGTAAATAGCCCCGCAATAGCTGCGCTAATAGCGTTAGTGGTCCCTTCCCGCGACGCTATCGCCCGCTACGCTATCGCGCAATAGCGGTGACATATTACGGAATATGTCTGTTCGCAAAAGCGGTCAATAATGTGTCATAACGGTAAATAGTGAGCGATTGCATTCGAAATTTGCTTTTTGACTACTATTTAAAAGCGGTTTGAGGCTTATTTTTTAAAAATTAAACTTAACCCTTGACCATTGCATTCCACCGTCTCCTGTGATTTTCAGCATATTCTCGTCACCTCTCATAGCCTCTGACACCTACCTTGATACTTCCTCTCACATTCTTCACCGTGAGCTCCTCTTAGGGCAGTCCTGTCACCGCTAAGCTATTCTTCTCGAAGATGACTTTTTGACTCCTCCAGTAATCTTTTTCTTTAATTTTTTTAGTATTTATACATATCTAAATTAGACCGCTATTTAACTTTGCGTTTTTTACCGTTATTTTACCGCAATAACCCGAAATAGCCTTAGCGATGCCTCACCGCTATGCGACGTATCCGCTATCGATAACCTTGGACCACGGGCACATAATGAAATAGAAGGATACGACACATATGGAACTCTTGTACAAAGGCAAAAAAGCTGAAACACATCAAAGCATTGTCTTTTCTTGCCCATCAAAATGCAATTCCTGTATAATTAGGCTTTAAGGGCATCTCCAACAGCTTCTCCAAAATTTTCTCCAAAATGGTGAAACAAAAGTTATATTCTCCAACTAATTTTTACACCAACTCCAACAGCTTCCCCATTTTAAAGAATCTCTTTTTTCCTCCAAAAATTTGGAGAATGTTACAGATTTGGGGAAGCTTCCTCATTTTTTCTCCTCCATCTCTATTTTGGGGAATGAGATGTGGAATCTGTTGGACCAAAAACCTAACTATATTCTCCAAAAGTGGAAAATGAGGAAGCTGTTGGAGATGCTCTAAATATCAACAAAACCCCTAACATTAGATTCAAAAAGCCTGAATCAAAATCCTTCACCGAGATTAATCAGCCTCTTGCCATCAAAAACCCATGCATCTTCACACATGCGGGCTGTGGACCCGTCGCTTATTCGCCAAACTAAACATCTCGCAATAAACTGGGCGAGCTTCAACAATGCTTCGGCGAGTAAATGACGAATTGTTTCCCATATTAGCTTTCATAAAAGACATGACAAATTTTCAAAACAGTCCTCTTTGGACTTTTAATCCCAAAAAAATACTCATTTTCAACTTATTTTCAGAAACTGACCTGGTTTCAGCCTCAGCGCTAAAACCAGGTCGGTGTAGGGTGAATATTTGATTTCCCGAAAGAGGGAGTTTCGTTTGTATTTATAAGAAGGCTTATTACAAACTAATGATCAAATAGTTACAACAGAAGCAGAGGGAAGGCCCTCTTTGTTTTGTGTGGGGACTTTTAGGTGGCTACAGGATGCTTCGCTCGATGCTCGTGTCGAGTCTGCTTCCCTTGGACCGTTCGAATGAGGTTGCTGGAGAGCTTCAGTTCGCAGTAGAAGCTCAACTTGAGAGAGTTCGGGTCTGTTTAGTTCGCCGGCGATCGGAGCTCGGAACTAAGCAGTGGTGCTGCAATGCAAAAAGGTTATGCAGAGAGCTTGGTCTCAACTCTTTTCTCTAAGTTTTGCGACCTCTCCTCCAGTGTGCCGGAAGGGTCTTTTAAATGGGAGAAGGACAACTTAACTCCTCCTTGAATTGTGGGATGTGACCACATCTTCTTCAGAGACGTCTAGCTGTTCCTCGAAACCATGAACGGTCATTCCAGGGATTGTGCTTTATGTCCTGTCACCTACGATGGGAAGGCCCATTCTTGTATGTGAGGCAACAAACGACTACTATCCGAGTGGATTTGACCAGCATTAATGAACCGCATTTATGAGTCCGCAGATCGATGAGGCGTCTGTCCGATCACCAGTACTGTGCGTGACCGCCCGGCGTGCTTTGAGCACGACGCTTTCTCCTTTCCGGTCAGGAGAGGCGGTGAAGTAGGTGTACAGTACTCGAGTGAGTCTAGCCAGCTTGCCGAGTGCCGGCGGGCCCAGCTCCAGACTCAGACAGCCGAGGTGAGTCGCATTTATGAATGCTCAGGTTGACTCGACACCTGTCCAGCTCCTTCGCGCTGTGCGCACTGTGGGCGGCCGTTTTGACGGCCCTGGGGTACTGTGCTCTCTCTCCCTTTGGGTCGAGAGAGGTGGGAAGGCCCACCTCAGCACGTGGGGTAGTGGATACCCAGCTGTACTGACGGTTTTGGGGCTTGCTGGCGGATTCGACTCCGAACTCGGGCAGGCGAGTTGAGCGAAGAGCAAATTTCCGCCATCCTGATCGCTCCTGACTCATGCTGGCGAGTCGACCGTTAGGCGAACCTTGGATACCCAGCTGTACTGACGGTTTTGGGGCTTGCTGGCGGATTCGACTCCGAACTCGGGCAGGCGAGTTGAGCGAAGAGCAAATTTCCGCCATCCTGATCGCTCCTGACTCATGCTGGCGAGTCGACCGTTAGGTGAACCTGGATTTGAGCACAGTCGACGTCTACGCGGTCTAGGTCCGTGTCAGAGAACTGGGCGTGCGAACTCTTCTCGTAGACAAATTCCCTGTAGACCCATAGAGGTATTTTTTACCGTCTACAGCTCCAAGATGATGAATTCCCTGAAGTCACCATCAACGTGGCTGATAAAAGAAAGTCTAAGCGGCATTCAAGTGACTCAAATCCTGACTTTTCCCCGAGAGGAAGAGTCAATCCAAGAATTGCTCAAAGGATGTCTCGACTCCAATTAGGAGCCATCAGACGCAGAAATTACAAGAGAATGCAAGAAGGAATGTCCTCGGAGGATGAATTCTCGGACACTTATTCTGCAATCGCTTCTGATGATACAATGTCTAGCATGGGACAAACCAAAGAAGTACTCACGATCACCTCTGATCAATTTGCTCAAATACTTCAAGAAGCTCTAGCCAAACAACGTGAAGAAATTAGAGCTGAAGTGAAGACAGAAATGGAGTTAGCTATCCAACAAATGAGAGAATTGCTAGCTCAGCGGCCTCAACCCCCTGAGTCCAGTCAAAGAACTGAATCCAGCCGCCACACTCAGAAAGTTGTGGATGACAGTGATCCAGAAGTGGATGAAGTCATTATGGCTGATATACCTCCCAATAGCAATAACGCTGGGGGTGGTTTAACACATTCTCTCAATAACGATATTGGGCGTGGTTCAATGGCACCTCTTACAGGGGGTGGTCTAAATCATTCTCCTCAACGTCATTCGAATGAAGACATAGACGATGACGGGAAAATGAAAGAGCTTGAAAACAAAGTCAACACTTTTATGACGGCTCAAGAAGTGAAGAGGACGGGTATTCCATGTCCCTATCTAAGAGAATGGGATTCAATACCGTATCCGACAAAGTTTAATCTGATTAACTTCACACCGTTTGAGGGGAAGAGTTTGCCGATTCAGCACTTGATTTATTTCAAGTCTTATTTGGGCATGATCTCTGGAAACGAGGCTTTAATGGTCCGATCATTCGTTGGCCCCCTTCGTGGGCCCGCCTTCGATTGGTACCGACGGCTCAATGACATGGAAAGTTTGTTCCTCAGTAATTTCTTCGATGATGACACCGAAGTATCAATCGGAACCCTTCTGGATGAGAAGCAAAAAGACGGGGAGTCAGTCGATAATTTTGTCAAGCGCTTCCGTAACAAGGCAATGAATTGCGGAGATCCTATTACAGAGGAGTTCATCCTGCAAACATGCCACAATAACCTCTCCATCGATGTCCTGGAAGCTCTGGGGGTTGTGCCATCCACCACTTGGAAAGAGTTAAAATCTCGGGGTGAACAAGCTGAACACTTTCTTAAAAGAAAGAAAGCTGAGAGAGGCCAATCGACGACATCTGCAATCACTGGGAACGCGACTCTCGATCCGAGGTTTCAAAAGGAGTATTCTTTCGAAGATAATGAAGCTCCAGCCATATTGGAATACCTCCTCACTAATGAAAAAATTGAGCTACCACCTATTAAAGATCAGGAGGGTGCTAAGATGATTACAGATCCAAATTACTGTGCATACCACAGAAGGGTTCTTCATCCCACCAATATTTGCTTTGGACTCAAAAATAAGATCCAAGCATTAATTGATTCCGGCGTCATAACGGCGAAAGAGGTCGAGTAAAGACAACCATATTACTCCATTGGGTACACGAGTATAAACTGTTTTCCCTGACTCCGATGAGTATACGAGTATAAATTGCTTCTCCATCTCACTCCGAAAAGTATACGAGTATAAACTGCTCCTTAATACTCCAACATGTATATGAGTCTAAACTATTTCCTTTCTTTCACGGGAAGTTCCTGGAGAATGCCATGCATGGTACTTTTAAGGATAACCCGATCATGTAGCTAAACATAATGATAAACTCAGTTTCGCAAGAAAAAGCTGGGGGTGGATGGTTCATGTAACGGAAATTCCCGAAAGAATGCTATATGTAATTTTCTTAGGAATAACCCGATCATTACAAACAAAGTGTTAAACACTACATCCCCATGGTGATTTCCGAATATTCTTTTGCTGAGATGAGATTCGATCACTTCGTTGGATCAATCTT